ATTCTCCATTGATGGGGGAGAGGGGGGGCGGATTGCGTAACCTGGCCTTGTGGCAGCAGGGAGAGTAAATCAGGCCCTGGCTTTAACATAGAGCAACAAATCAAAACATATCTGGAGTTTATTGTAATTGCAAATACCTCTCCCGCTATAAAATGGTTAGCCCATAAAGCAACGGTTTGTGGGTTCTTAATGCAGCTTTCATGTAGACTAAAAAAAGCAGAAAATTACATTATTGAACAAAAATGATTGAGTACCATAGTCTCCAAAAGGAACACAAAAAATACCCAAATTGAAAAATTTCCAAAACATTTAACAACTATGCACCAACTTCAATCTCTGTTTAAACAGATAGATTGATCTAGACATCAAAGGAGGTAACTGCGGCTCAACGGAACATAATTGTGCACTTTTCGCAGTTAATATCTTAATGTTTATTTTGGTACCTCAAAATACAAAACCCAATCATATTAAAGTATTGCAGGGTTTTGCCTCTATTTTTCAACTGAAAGTCAACAATAATAAATCTCAAGCTTTGAACAATAAATTGCTACCCACATAAGTGACTCTCACTTATCTGGTATGCAGCTGACCCCTACTATACAGGTACAATCACTTTGACAGCCAAAACTTCCTTACTTTAAACAGATTGCACAGGGTTTAGATGTGCGAACTTCAGCTGGTTCATTAAGAACTGTACAGCGTATTGCCACCTTTAACCGCTGTGAAAAAACGGACGGGCGGCAAACTCACATGGGTGGGTTGCCGTAATTAGACACTTTTTTTTTCTGCGCATGCAGAAAAAAACCCCATCCCTTGTGAGGAGTGCCTACTGGCCGTTTGAAATACAAACGATCAGCGGCTTTATACCCGCCGATCACTTGTATGTTGTGGTTTGGGCTGCGTGCCCCCTGTTCTGCCTGATGAAGGGGATCCTGTGTGACCCCGAAAACATTGCAACAAGTGTATTGTTGCATGAAACGTCTTGAATAAATAAAAATATAAAAAAATAAAAAGTTTATAAAAAATACATACAAATAAAATATTTTTAAAATGTGAAAAAATTAAAATAAAAAAAATTCGGTTTCAGCCTGACATTTTTTATATTTCGGTTTCGTTTTCGGTTTTGACTTTTTCATTTTGGTGCATCTATAGTGCATACAATACAATTCAATGTGCAATACAAGTCAGCTTAAGAATATTGGAAGTATTTGCCATAAAATGGTGTACAAATCCTAAAAAATAGACCGATTGTAAACTGGCAAAAAAAAAATGTACAAAGGGGTTTTATTTTTGCTAAAGTAATTGTTATTTTTAACATTTGTTTAGCATGCTACCTGATATGTAAAATAATTGCTAGTAAACACACTGTACTCACCTTGTACCTTATATCAGTATAGAATTTAGTGATCTGTTAATCACACTTATTAGCAGGCACCTGCAAATATTGATGATCTGTCTAAAACCAACACATAGTCACCAAAAAGGTATCCTCAGTAGGTATTTATAAAATCAAATTGGTGCTCTAAATAATACAGATTGTAAAAGCTTCGTACATTAGGAAAACCAAATAAGCCTTTATTGTGTGATACCAGAGCCTTATTATAATTCTAAGTTGCAACATGCTAAATGTATGGGGGAAAAAAATGCTTACTTTCACTTGATGAAAAATCTTGTGATTCAAGTATGCCAGACTCTTGCAAGGATCGAATGCATGAATCGACGAGTTCTAAACCGGTGGTCAGCTCATCTTCTATGTCTTTCTGTCCTTCTGTAAAATAGGATTTGTTAATATTTTATATTTGTTGATTGAGTAAAAACTTGTCTGTTCAACTTTTAAAATTTGAAAAAGTAGTTAAGGATTATAATCTGTGAGGTTTGTATTGCTTTCTGTATCCCTTTAATGAATTTTCTTCTTACTTGATGTACCCAGTAACAACCTGTCACTAGGGGAAAAGGAAAGGGGAAATCTTCCCAGTGGGTACACAGAGGATAGAATAAACCTGGCAGACATTCTAACCCTTCCCTACTCTACTAAAAAAGTGCTTTTAGTATCATTTGTGTCCTCATAGTGTATATGTCCCCCTAAACTGTTTGGAGAATACTCCCCAAGTAAGAGAAACCTAATCAGTGATAAAAATTATGGATGCACCGATACCAGTTTTTTGGTATCTAGTACCGATAATTTTTTTCTGGTATTCACCGATACCGGATACCAATACCGGAAGATCCATTAAGGAAACCGTCTCCATGCTCCTCCCTCCGAGTCCCATCAAGGAAGCCATCTCCATGCTCCCTCGTCACCAGGTGGCGAGGAAGCATGGAGCTGGCTTTCTGGCCAATCAGGAAGACGGGGGCGGGTAATGACTACTCGTACTCAACCAAATGCTCCCGATGCCTATCCCAATACCGGAATATCCGGTATCAGGAAACCAGGTGGCGGGTCATTAACCGCCTGAAGACCAGGTGTTTAGACTCCCTTCCTGGCCAGGACATTTTTCAGTATTCAGCGCTGCAGTACTTTGACTGACATTTATTCCGTCATACAACGCTGTACTGAAATTAATTTTATACCATTTTTTGGGGACATATAGAGCTTTCTTTTGGTGGTATTTAATCACCACTGCGGTTTTTATTGTTTACTATAATTAGGAAAAATTACTGAAAATTCTGGGAATTTTTTTTTTTACATTATGTTAGGAAACATTTATTATTACCCAGTTTTTTTGTAAAATATAAAATATATAATATCGGGCATGACTGGCCGCCCGGCTTCCTGATACTGGAAGTTCCGGTATCGGGATAGGCATCGGGAGCATTTGGTTGAGTATGAGTACTCGCCCAAATAACCGGTATCGGCACCGATACTAGTATCTGTATTATTATTATTATTATTATACAGGATTTATATAGCGCCAACAGTTTGCGCAGCACTTTACAATAAAAGGAAGACATTGCAATCACAATACAATTCAAGACAAGATGGTAAGGAGGGCCCTGCCCGTGAGGGCTTACAATCTAAAAGGGAGGGGCAAGTGATACACGAGGAGGTAGCTGTGTGGGGATGAATTGTTTGGTAAAGTGATGGTTCAGTGGTCAGGTTGAGGTTGGGTAGGCTTCCCTGAAGAGATGAGTCTTAAGGGATCACCAAAAGGCAGTCAGAGTGGGAGACAGACGGACAGGTTGGGGTAAAGAGTTTCATAGGATGGGAGAGACTCTAGTGAATCCCTGGATGCAAGCATGGGAGGAGTTGACAAGGGAGTTGGAAAGCAGAATGTATTTTGAAGAGCGGAGGGGATGGTTAGGGTGATAATTTGAGACAAGGTTTGAGATATAGCCGGGGGCAGAGTTGTGGATGGTTTTGTAAGTCATTGTTAATATTTAGAATGTTATCCTTTGGGCTATTGGAAGCCAATGCAGGGAGTTGCAGACACTGAGCGGTTGGTTAGGTGAATGAGTCTAACAGCAGCATTCATTATAGAGTGAAGGGGGGATAGCCTGTGTAGAGGTAAGCCAATAATGAGGAGGGAGTTGCAATAGTCAAGCCTAGAGATAACAAGTGAGTGGATGAGTAGTTTTGAGGTTTCATTGGTGAGGAAGGGGCATATTTTGGAGATGTTGCAAAGGTGAAGGCAGCAGTATTTGGATAGTGTGTGGGGAAGAAAGGTGAGGTCCAAGTCAAAGAGGACACCTTGCACCTTGGCATGGGGGGACGGTTGGATAGTTATCAATCTCAAGGGAAAAGTTGGGGAAAGGTGCACGGGCAGGAGAAAATATAATGAGCTCAATTTTCCAAAGGTTGAGTTTTAAGAAGTGTTGTGACATCCAGACTGATATGTCAGTTAGTAAGATTAGTGACACGCAAGGACACTGAGGGGGTGAGTTGTGGAGTAGAAAGAAAGATAGATTTGAGTGTCATCGGCATAGAAATGGTATTGGAAGCCATGTGAGGTTATTAATTGACCAAGGAAAAGGTATTGATGCATCACTAATAAAAATGTTACAGAAATTATAGCTCTAACCCCATTCTGTACAAAAGTTCTGAGTAAAATTCCACTTTAATAGGAAATGTTCAGATAAACCCTAGCTGCTTATTATATTATGAAACATATTTGACAACATTAGAAAATAATTTGGATAGATACCTTGAAGGGTCTGGGAAGAAAAATGCGTTATGCAAAGAACCCTGGCCAACTGGAGGTGTGACCAGAAAGTGTGTGTGGCTGCAGTGTATGGCTTATAGTGTTGCACCTTTCTCCCTACTGTTTACAATGTTTTAGACAAAATACTGCAAGTCTTGGAGGTACACTGAGAATAAAGTGGGGGTAAAATAAGCCCCATTATTAGTGTCAGTGGGATAAATAAACCCCATATTGTTGATGTCAGTGGGTGCAAAATAAGCCCCACATCGTTTGTGCCAATGGTACAAAAATAAGCTCCATTGTTGGTGTCAGTGGAAGGATAACATGCCCCACATTTGTCAGAGGGAGAGAAATGAGCCTATCAATTTTATCAGATAGATAAAATAAACTCTAGATCAGTGGAGTTAGTAGTGGAAAATAAGCCCCATATAGTTGGTGTCAGTGAGATAAAATAAGGGCTATAAACACCGGTGTAGAGTTAAATGGTAGTATCAAAAAGTTTTATTAAATAACAATATATTATGGATTATTGCAACAATCCATACATACATGCCACTATTCAAACACACAGGGAGCTAGCTGATCAGCGCAATTAATGCCATATGCTGGTCCTCAAATGAAGGAAAAACGGGGTAGTAAAAAAGGGGGCTTTGATGGATGAGGAAAGTATATCCAATAAATTATATGAACTGCCTGGCTTTACTCAAAAAGCAATGTTCCTTGGTATTGAGTCCAATTTATGGGGTGTTCATGTCTTGGAGTAAGGGAGGTGTGTATATATGATGTTATCTTGATTGTAGAAATTCAAGTAGGATATAGCTAAATATATGGTATATGGTATATGACCCAGTGAGTATATATATATTTTGGTTGCCGCTGAGTTATGACCACACTAGGGGATTATAACTCCAATCTGTGTGTGACATGCTTAAACTCGAGTAAAATCTACTCACGGTTCCTTGGTACTCCAACCGGTCAATCTGAATCATTAGGCTGTTATCCACTTGAACATTTAGCTGATATTTTTCATCATAGCCCAGCATCAGGCTTTTCAGGTGATCCTCGAGATTAAGTCCTCCTATATAGACCACGATTTTGGACAATCCCTGTGTTTGTTTCCAAGGGTGTTTCTCGATCAAATGTAAAAACCCTTTTTCCTCCTGTAATTTAGTTTGTCCACGCCAACTGGTCAGATGTCCGACATGCAGTTAGTCAAGCTAGCATCCCGTAACTGGATGACGCGTTTCGCCCCTCCTACGTTCTCGGGGCTTCGTCAGATCCTGGTGGTTGATTTGAATCAAGGGACTTTTATGCAGTTTCTCTTGCATTGCAATTAGCCCGTTTAGTGCCGTAGATAGATTGCTTACTTGCACATTTAGTTTCTAGGTTTCTTGCCACTGGGGGGCAGGGGGGGGTTTGGGGTTTAGGGAGACAGGACCATAAGTAGGAAAGTTTTTTGGTACTACCATTTAACTCTCCGACCCTCGTTTCATAGCTGCACTTAGTTCTTAACCACCTAGGTTAGAACCAATTGTTTCAATTGTTTTCTCTTCTGAGCAGCTGAGGGTTGTTTGCTAGCCAGTGAGAGAAAATCAGGTCACTTCTGACCAATTAAGTTCCTTTTTTCCTTTTTTCTATGCAATTCTCTTGAGTGACTATTCACTCTTTCCGTACCCATTGAGTCCACGTAAATCCCGAAAATCATAGATATGAAGTAACATAATATTTGAATGCACAGTTGACGAACCGCATCAGCGCCAACTATAGAGGGTGTGGTGCGTGGGGGGAGGGAAAATTTCAAAAACCTATTACTAATATCAGTTGGGATACTTGTTTCTTTACTTAGATTAATAATAACCTCATGCAAATATGGCCTACATACTGGATGACAGTATAGATAACGAGATTAAACAAGCATTTAGGCCAAGTGGATCAATACAATATGATGATGATATTTTTATTAAATTCCGCCTGTAAAAATCTAGTAATGAAGCACCTTAATCGTAAGTGGGACATCATGTCCCTGGAGTCCTACTTGGATGCAGGCATGATCCCCAGGGGCCGAAGGCAAAAAACTATCCCAGCCGAACATTTACAAAACGAACGCTTCATATCGAAATGGAAGCAACAATGTATATCACACGGACTTGAAGTGATAAAATTAATAGTTGAGGAAGAGAGAATCCAAATGGAGGAACTACAAAAACATATAGAAAAGAGCCAACAGGATCTGGAACCATTTAAAGAGCAGGATGCCTTTCAAAAACAGAATGACATCCTCAAAAAAGAGGTAGAGAAGGCACAACGAATATTAAGAAAAATTAAGCAATCAAAGTTCTATAGAGATTCAGACGATTGGGAAAAAGATAATATCTTTGATCTCAAACGAAGTAGAAGTAGAAGCACCTCCAAAAAAAAGACGCCACCAGAATAGAAATAGATGGCCAAGGGAACATTCCACTAGCCATAGTGAGGGGGAGTCAATACTAAAAAAGTCAGTTAATTTTTTAGGGGAAACGGAGGTGTATTCCTCACAGGGACAACGAGGAAGAGAGCCAATAAGAGAACAAGAAAGAGAAAACATAAAAGGACCAGAGCAGTATCAACAACAGAAAATTACATCGAGACT